GAATACTTTCCTTGGATATATTATTCTAGGATAAAAGCTTTTCTTTTAGCAATTTAAGTATGTCGTAGTCTGAACGGTTTCCAGTGAGAAGTCTGCTGCCTGATATATTAGAACTAAATTATATTTTGTTTCTTTTCTCTTGCTGCTTTTAATATCCTTTTTTAATCTTTGACCTTTGCCACTTTGATTATTTAAATATCTTGAGGTAGTCTTCTCTGGGTTAAATCTACTTGATGTTCTATAACCTTGTACTTGAATATTGAGATCTTTCTCTGTGTTTGGGAAGTGCTCTTTAATTATACCTTTGAATAAATATTCTACCACTCTCTCTTTCTCTCTACCTCCTCCTTAAGACCAATAACTCTAAGATTTGCCCCTTTAAGACTATTTTCTAGATTCTGTAGGAATGCTTCATTGTTTTTTATTCTTTTTTTCTTTTGTCTCTTCTGATTGTTAATTTTCAAACAGACTTTCTTTAAGCTAAGTAATTCTTTCTGCTTGATCCATTCTGCTTTTAAGAGAATCTGTTGCATTCTTCAGTATGTCACTTGAACTTTTCAGCACTAGAACTTCTGCTTGATTCTTTTTAATTATTTCAATTTCTTTGTCAAATGTATCAGATAGGATTCTGAATCCCTTCTCTGTTATCTTGAATTTCATTGAATTTCCTCAAAACAGCTATTTTAAATATTCTGAATTCTCTGAAATACCTCATATCTCTGTCTCTCCAGGATTGGTCACTGGTGCCTTATTAGTTTTTTTTTTTTTTTTTTGGTGAGGTTATGTTTTCCTAGATTGACTTGATGCTTGTGGATGTTTGACCACTGTCTGGGCATTGAAGAGTTAAGTATTTACAGTCTGGGTTGACTGTGCTCATTGTTCTTGGGAATGCTTTCCAATTATTCAGATGGGCTTGGGTGTTATAATCTAAGTTTTTGTCACTGCAGCCATATTTGTATTAGCAGGCACCACAAGCCCAGTAATGCTGTGGTTCTTACAGATGTCTGTCCTTGGGGTATTACATAAAATCTAGAAGAATTCTCTCGATTACTAGGCAGAGTCTCTTTTTGTCTTCCCCTACTTTCTCTCAAACAAAGAGTCTCTGTCTCTCTGTCTCTCTCTCTCTTTCTTTCTCTCTCTCTCTCTCTCTCTCTCTCTCTCTCTCTCTGTGCTGAGCTTCCTAGAGCTGGGGGAGGATGAACCAGCTCACACAGGGCCCACAGCAAGTATTACCTGGCTACTGCTGCGATTATTCACAGATCAAAGTTTCTTCAGTCAGCGAGTAGGAAATTGTGTCAGAACTGGGCCCTTCCCTTTAAGGCAATGGGTTCTCTTCTGGCCCAGAGAGTGTCTAGAAATGTCATCTGGGAGCTAGGGCCTGGAATGAGGGCTTCCAAACTCTGCTTGGTGCCCTATCCTATTGTCGCTGAGCTGATATTTAAGTTGTTAGACAAAGTTCTCATTACTCTTTCCTGTCCTCTCCTCAAGCAGAAAGAAGGAGTCTGTCCCAGAGTTGGGAGCTGCACTGCCTGAGGTTAGGGAAGGGGTGGAACTAAGCACTACCTTGGCTGTCCCAGTTTGTGTCTTACAGGTCACATGCCCCACAAGTATACTGGCTTTGAGATCAGCACAGTACCAGTACTTGCTGAGGAATTGCTGTCCTTTTGGCCTAGACTGCCTTTTTAAGTTTACTTGGAACCCTAGAACATTTTAGCCTGCAGTGGTGAGGCTTGCCAGAACTTAGGTTCTGACCACTGAGATGAGTGATTTCTCTCTGTGTAGGGCTGGTCTCAATGCAACCTCCATGGGCATTGACTGAGTTCTGCCTGATATTTCTTTCTGCTGTGACAGGGTAGCACTGAGTTCCAAGGCAAAGTCTCACAATCACTGCACTCTCCCTTCCCTAAGTGTACAGTTTATCTCTCTACTCCATGGGGCCCACTGCTGTAGGATGGAGGAGGGGTGGCATCAGCAATTCAAGACTGTCTTTTCTATTCTTTTCAGTGCCTCTTTCAGTGACATGAAGTTAAAACTGGGCTCTGTGATCACTCACCGGATTTTTGGTTCTTATGAAGGTGCTCTCATTGTGTGCATACTTGTTCAATTTGGTGTTCTTGAGCAGGGGGATGATTAGTGTAGGCTTCTATTTGGCCGTCTTACTCTGCCTGATTTCTGTTATTCTTATACTATTAATTCTATTTTAATTTGTGTAATCCTGCAGAACAATGAACACCCAAAACTTTTAGATATAACAACTGCAAAGAGAGAAGTACAAGACTTGGAAAACAACAGTGATTGCAAATTAACAATATTTATTTCATTTGTACTCTCATTTGGTCCTAAAAGGATTTAATGAAGGTGTTTTTTGTTTTTTGTTTTTTTTCAAAGCGTAAAATATACTAAGATTAAGTGATATGAGAGCAACATTTAACAGTACAGAAACATTGTGAAACTGTTTTGTTTGTTTACTTTTAGGGTCTGTTAGAGGCTCAATATAATCTTTCTATGTTAAAGGGGAATGAATGGAAAGGAGATAAAAGCGGTAGACTAGCTAACAAAAATATTTATGTCAGCCAGAAGGGCTGCCATGGACAAATCGGTAAGGTAAATCCCAAGATTCATATTTTCTTCTAGGCTAATTCTTTCTAGCCTGGCAGGTTAGAAAGCTCACGCCCCTTGCTGATTTTACCTAAAATCCATTTGGAAGAATTCTTATGGTTGTAATTTCCTTTGTGGAATCCCTCCTCCATGGCTCAGTGCCTGGCATATATTAAGTACTTAGTAAATGTTAAATGTTTTATTACTAGAATGCATCATGCAAATTATATGGAGCTTTATGACTTCAGGAGAGAATGACATGAATATTCTGGATTCTTTGTACTCCTAAATCTATAGAGCATTTAAATGCGTCTCCAAGGATATACCAATAAAAAACACTTCTCCTTATTTTACTATGGATACAGTTATCCGTTAATTAAAATAAACTTCAAAATGTTTTCTAAATGAGCAAAATTTTCTTTTATAGTTAATACCTCTGAATCTGACCTATTAACAGTTTAGAAATAATATTTAGAAGTGGGATGTTATATCTGTAAACAAAAAGGATCACTTGCTCTTTAAGCCAGAGGGGAATGGTCCTAACTCCAAAAATCATATTAAATTTAGGTCTTAGTTAAAAGGCAAGTATAAAACTTTTATTAAGCATTCCAAGAGCTAAAAGTTGTACCCATTAAATTGATATGTGAAATCTGAAGCCTTGTCTAAGCAACCTGGTTTCCAGAAACTAGTTCCTTATTCCTGCATAATACACCAGTTACAATGGGAGCTGAGTCCTAGGGGTCTATTTCTTTTACAATCATTAACATTGGAGGCGACACATGAACTTGTAAATAAGTGTGAGATAAATAATATAGGCTGATCCACATGGCTATAGAGTGATTACTCTTTGGGATAATGAAGAATAAGATTTTAAAAAGATTCCATAGATTAGGAGAGAGATTAAAGGTGTGGGGGCGGAATTTAAAAACCTGGAAGGGAAAATGAAAGGAAGCTGAACACCTGTCCAGAAAGGTTATTTGAGAAAAGTGACCATATTTAGACAAGATTGTCTTTTGTATTTTATTTTTCTATTTGGATAAATGTATAATGGTGTTATGGATTTTATAAAAAATTGCTGTAACATCATCACATAGTTCGAATTAAGAATTCTGCCCAGTTCTTTCATCTTGGGTCTTTGTCTGAAGTACATACAGGTTCACACTTTTCTCCATCTCCTATCTTTCTTTCCTTCATACATGTATCTGTATGTGTTCATTTAATATTGCCCAATTAAGTTTACTTTCAGTTACACAAGTAATATAAAAGTACATCTAATAAAAAAATCCAATGTTGGTGATGAAGAGTAAGTCTCTTTTGGGGGCAACCTTCCTACCTCATTTCTTTGCTCCCAACGATGCTACTTTATCACCAGGGGTAATCCCTGTAACTAATCTATGTTTATTAATTCCCATAATTAATTCCCATAACTAATTTATGTTTGGATTATTTTCTAACATTATTTTTAAAGAAGATACAATTTTTGTTTCTTGAGAGCATTAGGAAAAGCAAAGTTGATGCACTGAGATAAATTCTTCCAATACTATGCTTCTGTGTGGATTTAAAGATACCTGACCTCTGGCTGATTATGTGCTGATACTTAATTCACAAAACATTTTAGAGTATTTTTAATTCTGGTGAGAAAAGAAAACCTTTCTCTTACCACATTTTTATATGTGACATAACTCTTAAAGGAAACAAATATTCTGATTAATATCAGTTTGGCTACTTATATTTATAATATATGAAACAATCTTTTAGTAAATTTGATTCTATCCATTACTTAATGAATGTTTCGAGAAGTTCATCATAACATTTTTTTTAGTGACTTAGAAGCACTTTAATTTTTATGGATGCCTTGTAATATAGAGAATAATTGAATGAAGAATGGACAGGTTGACTCCTACAGTGAGTAAAATTCCTTCTTTCAAGCTAGTGGTAGGCTTTAAATGATGAGTATTCCAGTTAGCAGTAAGTGCACACTATAAGGTGATTTTCTTATCACATTTTAGTTAAATGGAGATGCTCTTAGAACAACATGTCATTATGTTCTTCCAATAACATAAACTACATTTGAAACAGAAATGACTCTCTTGCGTTGCATGGTATATAAGCAACATATTCTGTAGTATAACTTAATTCTACATGATGTTTCTCGTAGTCAGTAAACTCTTTCAAGTAAAAAGTTAAATGTACATGGCAGATGCGTAAAATCTATTTTTTGGGGGGTTTCTAAAATGTTACATGCCAATAGCATGCCAAGAGCCAGGAAAGGAATGGAACACAATAGTCTTTGCTGGGAGGGAAGTTCTACATAGTTTTGATATGAACTTAATTCTGAAGTCTTCAAGTAAGCAGATGTCATGTTTTCTCTGTAAAGTCACTCTTCCTTATTTGCATTGCAGATTGTTTCTTGAATGGTAAAGAAAGGAGTGGAACCACAGTTGGAAACTCAGGTATTGTGCATATTCCACAGCCCAGTTTAACACAGCCTGCCTTATGCCTTAGCATGAGGTAACTGACTACAACTGATCTATCACTGACAAGGTGACTGCAAATTATTCTAGTGCTTATAGAAATTTGCAGCTATTTCTCTACCTTTTAAAATTTTACCCATGGATCAAATTTTCTAGTAACTTAGAAAATGAGATAAGATGAAGAAAAGATGAATAAGTTAATCCCATGGAAAGTGAAAAAGAAGGATAGAATGAACATTTTGATATGGTTATGACCAAATTTAAAGGCAGACGAAATATGTTGTAATACACACACACACGCACAGAGATATGCATATACACACATTTATTTATAAAGTATGTAAATTTGGGGGTTTTCTTTTGATGTAGAGAAGACTGATGTATAATGTAGAGCTTTGTGTATGGATTCACTTTGTCACATCAGCCAATTGTTCCAAGCAAGTTCAGAAATTTCTAGAGCTAAATCATAAGTAGGCTAAACAGAAGTAAAAAAAAAAAAAAAAAAAAATCTGGGATTTTGACCTTGCCTGTTGATTTTTGACTTTGCCTGACTCAGCTGTGATGGTATGATCCATGTAAAAGTTCTTTCTTTTTTTTTTTTTTTTTTTTTTTTTTTTGTTCTACAGTGTGTGGCTTCAGGTAAAAATTTAAATATAGGGAGGCAGCATGGAAAGGGCTTAGTATTTCCCCAGCCCAGCCCATGGGTTGTGATCTTCCCCGTCAATAAACAGACTTTTTCCTACATGTTTCACTTTGCATATACCACCAAACTGAACATTCTTCGTGTCCCCAATGAGACACTGAGAAAAGCTCTATTGAAGACTTTAGGTGGTGTTCCCAAAGGTGGAGAGTTGGAGACCAGGGAGGAATTTTTAAACTGTCTCGGGTATTGTGAAGAGTAGACTTTTATTTCACTCTTTATTGAAAGACTGTCAATAAAGGTAAACTAATTCTTTCCATACTGTGGCGTAGAAAATTTGAAATGTGGCATCCTAATCTCTAAATTGATAAAGGGTGTGCATCAAAATAAGAACCACAAACAATAACAGCCATGCACAAAACCCCACTCAACTCTGGTTTGATTAGTGTGGTAATTTGTGAAATTAAAATTAGATGAAGGAACCAAAATTTTTAGCCTCAAATTTAATTCCCATTGTAAAATCTTAAATAATATTGGAGGTCATATACGCATGCTATAAATACTAAATATTGCCAAAAATTAAATGTCACTAAAATTAAGCATTATTAGCCAGAGTTCCCTAGTTTCCATTACTGGTACCATTTTTTTTTCATGCATCTTCTCAGAAATGGTAAGTTATATATGTGTAAACATCTTCTTTCATTATAAATTCTCTTTTCTTCTAATTCTTTGGTATAATAAATTTACATGGTAAGACTTGAGTTTAGCTGATGAAACTGGTACTGTAGACAAATTCTAGAACATGGCTTTTCTGTTTATGAGTTTACTGGGGGATATTCTAAAATTAATTTATTTGTAAAAAATAGGAAACTTCCCTACCCCCTACTTTTCCAACCAAATTGAATGGTGCCAGACTTTATATACCCCAGCTTATTTTCTGGTTATGTCTTAATAATACTTCATATTGCATAAATAATTAAAACCCTAAGCTAAACATAACCTCAGTGAAAGTTTTTTCTGACCAAGCTTTCATAAATCCTATTAGTCTTGCCAATTAGAGAAACTTTATCAACTGTCTGAGTAGAGCCCATCTGATGGGATTTAATCTCTGTTGCATTCCTTCATTTTTAAAAACAGCCTTATTGAGGTATAGAGGAATTAGAGAAACTTTATCAACTGTCTGAGTAGAGCCCATCTGATGGAATTTAATCTCTGTTCCATTCCTTCATTTTTAAAAACAGCTTTATTGAGGTATAATTGATATACAGAGAACTGCACATATTTAATGTGTATACTTTAATAGGTATGGATATATGAAAGTACCCCTGATACCACCACCATAATCAAGGCAATAGACATATTCAACACCTCTCAGTTTCCTTATGTCCCTTGTGTGTGTGTGTGTGTGTGCATGTGTGTTAAGAACATTTAATAAGAAATCTACAATCAACAAATTTTGAGGTGCACAATATCATCTTATTAACTACAGGCAATACGTAATACAGAAGAACTCTAGAACTTATTTATCTAGCATAAGTGTAACTTCATATCCAATGAACTCCTCATTTTCTCCACCTCCCAGCCCCTGCCAACCACTGTTGTATTCTCTGCTTCTATGAGTTTGACCGTTATAGGTAACTCAGAAGTGGAATCATGCACTATTTGTCCTTCCGTGCCTGGCTTATTTCCCTTAGGATAATGGCCACCAGATTTATCCATGTTGTTGTAAATGGCAAGGTTTTTGTCTTTTTAAAGACTGAATAAGTTTCCATTGTATACATGTACCACATTGTCTTTTTCCATTCTTCTGTCCATGTCCACTTGGGTGGTTTTCATTTGGCTATTATGAATAATGCTGCAATGAACATGGATGTGTAGGTATCTCTTTGAGATCCTGATTTCAATTCTTTTGAGTATATACCCAGAAGTGGAATGGCTGGATCACATGATAGATTTATTTTTAATATTTTGAGGAACCTCCATACTGCACTAAATAGCTGCTGCACCCTTTTACATGCCCACTAACTGTATAAAAGTGTTCCAATTTCTTCACATTCTCCCCAGTCTTTATTATCTTTGTTTGGTTTCGATAACAGTCATCATAACAGTGTGAGGTGGTATCTAATTATAGATTTTTTGTTTATTGCTATAAACTTCACTTAAAACTACTTTTATTATGTAAGTTATAGTATGCTGTGTTTTTATTTCCATTTATTTCAGGATCTTTTGAGATTTTCTTTTTGTTTTTTTCTTTGACCTATTGGTTATTTAGGTGTGTAATGTATAATTTCCACATTATTTGTAAATTTTATAATTTTCCTGATGTTATTACATTCTAGTTTCTTATTGTGGTTGGAAAATATGTTGATATAATTTCAGTCTCTTAAAATATATTTTACTTAAAATTGTTAGGACTTGTTTTGTGGCCTAACATGTGGTCTGTCCTGGAGAATATTCCATATGTGCTTGAGAATAATGTGTATTCTGCTTATGCTGGGTGGAATGTTTCATATGTCTCTTAGCCTCATTTGGTCTATAGCAGTGTTCAAGTTCATTGTTTCCTTATTGATTTTCTGTCTGAATGTTCTGTCCATTGTTGAAAGCAGGGCATCACTTCATTCTTATTAAGGATAATTCTTTACTCCATTCAAATTATAGATAATTATATTACTTTATTTCTTGATACATTTATTGTAAGTTTGCCTTTTCCCAAGGAGTTACAAGTCCTAGGCACTGTTATTTCACTATTCACCACTGCCAAACTCTATTATGATTGTATTTTCCCAGGTATGTCTCTATATTTTGTCTTTAAGGCTCTGTGGGCAATAAATATGTAGAGGGTCAGCCCCACAGCAAAAGCTTTTGTTCCAAATCCCTGGATGAACTTTGATGACTTAGACTTGACAAATGGGTAGCTCCTTTGGCCCCTATATAGTGACAGTAGGAAAAGTAAAATGTATTTTCCTTAAAGTGAGAGAAGAGCCAGCTTAATCTGCCTGTACCAGGAATTGTATGGGGGCAACAGTTCTAACCAGAACTCTCTCAGATCCTCCTACCTCAGGTGTATGGGAGAAAGACTTAGAAAGAAGAAAAAGGGAGAGGAATGGTGGGATTCTCTTAGAAGGGTAACATGCAACCTAAGCAAGCATGTATAAGAAAACAGCCATTTTTCTGGTCTTTGCTTCCTTATCATGATGAATGCCCCACTCATTAGGAGAATTGACAAAAAATATATATTTTTGGTTTGAGTAACACTCTCCTCTCTTTGGAATAAACTGATATAAAATATTTTTGGAGGCAGATGGCAATAGTAGGGTGAAACAAAATTTGTTTTTGGCAAATGTGCATGGTATTTTGTTAGAACGTTAAAATTAATCTAGCTTAAAATTATTATGCTCTTATCGTATGGCAACGATCTTCGGCACTCTGATGATCCCTTTATTTGTGAGCAGGAGAGTAATTGCTTTTTGAAAAGAATCTTGGCCCTTCCCGTAGGTACTCCCTTGTTTATCTCTGTGTGCAGATGGAGTGGCTTTCTCTTCAAGCATTTGTTCTTGTCAGACTTGTCAACTTTCATAAGAAAATGTCAATCTGGCCTCTGGGTTGAGGAGCTGTTAAAACATATGGCTTTGCACTTAACCGGAAAAACAGAATAGCTTCACTCCAGGTACTTGTCAGGGAATATAATCTTCAACTCACTGCCATTCAACATTTATCAGAAGCTCAGCTGGGAGAAACACTATTTATGAAAGATTGTCTGAAGGACATGCTGTCTGTCCATTCACCTAGCTCCTCTTAAATCTATCCTATGTAAGCCAGACAAGCAAAAATTCTGTAACACTGTTCTGGTTCCTGTGGGAATGTGCTTACTAAATTGTGGAGTGGCATTTTGCCATAAGCTTATGCTGAGTGATGTTAGAAGAAACAGATTTTTGAAAGCCACTATGTTTACTCTGAGGCTGCCATTTAATGATTCTTCACTACACTGCACACTCTTTTCTTTAAGAGGGCCCACAGGAGAAACTTCTCTCTCATGTCAGTACCAGCCATGAGCGTGTTCTTCTTTGCAACTTGTATGTTTATAAGCACGTAGACACTGAACCATTACTGATTCTGCCAATGCCTTTATTTACTAGCAAGTATAAAACTAAAGTTGTAACCCATTTCTGGAAAGCATGCAAGAGTTTACAACATATATTTTGAGAATTAATTACATGCCTGGCTTCACCTTGTTTGATTTTACCTGATTTACCCTTTCTTCTGAGTTGGATGGGGAGAGATAAGGAAAATCTTCAAAGGAAAACTGATCAGTCGAGTCTGGAAGGATAGTAGTTCCTGG